CGTGTAATCATATGCTATTATCATCCCTATTTAGAGGTGCGGCTCAGGGGTTGAGCAGCTCAAAGAGGTCACACAAAGAGGGGTTCAGAGCAGCTGAGCGGGAGGCCGGGATTCGGGTTCCAGAGTCCGTGCTCATAACCACTGCACACCACACCAGGCCCCTCCCTTCTCCCTTCCTGACAAATCCCACCTTCTTCCTCCCAGGCCCAGTGGAAAGATGTTTGCTAAGTGATGGAATGAATGCATGCACACATGAAAGAATGTATCCTCTAGCCGTGACCTGCCTCTGGGATCCCGCCTATAGAATGGTGCCCATCAGCAAACAGACGCTGCAAACAGACTCTGGCAGGACAGCGCGGTATAAACAAACTCAGGGTTCGGGCCAGAGTGCGTCTTCCCGGTTCTGTCCCCGGCAACCTGTGTGGCTTCTGTCCGTTCACTAACCTCCAGGGCCACCATTTTTCATCTGAAATGTGGGTTCAACCGCAGTGATGATAAAACCTCTCCTTCCTCTCTTTTCCAGCCAACAGTCACCGCACACCCGCGAGGCGTTGGCCACTGCGGCACAAAATGCTGACCACGGCTGAGGGAGTCCTGCCCTCTGCGACCTTCTGGACAGGGAGGAGCGTGGACCGCCAGGAAATGACACTCGCGCGTGGTGCCTGCTGTGAGGGCTCCGTGTGGGACAGCCGCGGGAAGTTAGCCATGTGAAGCGGGAAAGGGCGCTCCAGGCACAAGGGGCAGAGGAGTCCCGGTGCACGTGCAGGACAGTGAGCAGGGCTGGTGGCTGCAGCCCCGCCGGCTATGCGGGGCTTTCTGAGCCCGGCCAAGACAGTGGAACTTCACCCTGAGCACAAAGGGCCCAGCAGCACCCGGAAAACCTGGGTGGCCGTCACTGCCGCGACAGCCCGTAGGTGCCCCTCAGTCTGCCTGCTGCTACGAGGGACGCTCGATGCCTCCTTCACATTGCTGTCAAGAGGCAGATGGCAGAGGCCTCCTACACAGAACAAAAGGGCTGAATGTCAGAAAAGAAAAACAGGGGAAAAGAGAACAAAGGCAGAGCGCAAGAGAAAGGGCTTTGAATTCCGAGGTGTCTGGGGATCGGGGGTCCTTGCGGTGGACAGGACTTGTGCTTGCAGGAGGCAGCGGGTCTGGTGCAGACTCGAGGACCAGAGAGGATGCTGTGCCCACCTGGGCAATGACACGAACGTGGCCTGGGTGTCAGGCAGCACCAGGTTAGAAAGGAAGAGACCAGGAAGGGCGCCCCGGGTGGGGGAGATGGCAGCACTGCTGGGGCCCCGTGCTGACCCTCAGAGGGCAGCACAGTTTTGCTGAGCATCTGCTGTGTGTCAGGCCCTATGGCAAGTACTTCTGTAGACTCTGCAGCTCACAGGACACCGCTTATCACGATGCCCAGTGCCTGCCTCCCATGTAAGCTGTGAGCCCCGTGAGGGCAGGGCCTGTGTCTGGACCCCTGAGGCATCCCGAGGACCTGGTACACATTAGGTGCTCCATGACAGTTTTGAGTGATCCAATCTTCCTTCTTTCTTCCTTTTTATTTTTTTAGAGTCTCGTTCTGTTGCCCAGGCTGGAGTGCCGTGCCATCAGCCTAGCTCACTGCCACCTCAAACTCCTGGGTTCAAGCGATCCTCCTGCCTCAGCTTCCCAAGTAGCTGGGGCTACAGGCACATATCACGATGCCCGGCTGATTTTTTTTTTACTTTTTGTAGAGATGAGGTCTCGCTATGTTGCCCAGGCTTAACCAACTTTCTTTGCCTTTCCTCTCCCCTCCTTCCCTCTTAAATCTCACGCAATCCTTCAAATAACTGCAAATTAGGCTAAGGTTTGGGGAGTTAATCTTGATAACTGGGGAGAGTTGGACCATGTCCAGTTGGCAGCGGAGCTTACAATGAGGGAACAGAGGCTCAGAAAGCCTATGTGACTTGCCCAAGACCGGATGGTGGAGCTGAGCTCTGACCAGCCTGTCTGGCCACCACGCTCCTCCTCAGCAGCCTGCTTCCTCCGAAGGGAGGAGACTGGACCCCAGAGATGGACACAGCCAGGCCAGTGTTTCTGTGGCTGTGTGACGCTGACAAGGACTTCTCATTGACGCTGGGTTCCTGGGCCCGCGTGCGTAAGGGTCGGTCTGAACTGAAACTGGAAGGCAAGCAGGCAGGGCCGGCTCCAGCCCACTCAGGCCAGCAGGGGGGACACCCATGGTCACCACTGGACACCACCAGAGGAGATGATTTTAAGAGGACTCCACACTGGCTGAACTCTCTCCGGTCTCTACCTGTCCTCAGTAAATTGGTACCTATTTCATAAAAGATGACAATGACTAATAAGGAAACCTGTCTACAGGCGCTTCTGCTTTTCCAACTTCTAACCCAGACGAGGTTTGTTCATAGGACTAACTGGTCCAGTGTTTATCCCAAGAGCATTTCTTATCCATCAGTCCTTCCTATGCCATTCAGGTCCAGCTCATGCAATCCCATAACCGTTTTATTGAGTTGTTACTTGGTCCCAGCCTTTGTGCTAGGGCCTGGAGAAGAAGTCAGTGCCTTTCACAGCCACGTTGGGGTGGGGGAGATGCCCACGTGGAACATTCGGTTCCTGTGTGATAAGAACCTGCAGCCAGTTCCTTCCAGGTGCCGCGGGAGTCTGGAGAAGGGAAAGCGTGACTCAGCCTCGCTCTCCCTCTTTTCCTCGGCTGAGCTGGCTGTTGCTGCAGCGAGGGGGCAGCGAGGGGGCAGAGGGGAAGTGTGTGTCGGAGGGACAGTTCTGTTCTCCTCTTGAGTGGGCTGGGCAGCAGCCCCAGGGGAAGGGGAAGGACAAAGAATTTCCTATGTGGCCACATTGTTCCTCTCCACTTCCTGAGTCGAAAGGACTTACGGTTTCACTGGGCTGAGAGGCACCCCCTCGCTGTCCTGAGACCTCATGGCCCAAATGTACGCATCTCCAGGGACAGAGAGAATAGGAGACTCGAAACAGTGGTTTGTGATTTCAGCGACTCCAACTACTTTTTGGGAGGCAGGAAGCCGTGGAGGGATGAAGGTGCTTGAGCATCCTTGAGCAAAGCAGTAGTCAGCTGTGGGCTGTGTGAGATGTGTTCTCAGAGGCAGCTGCACGTGGAGGGCAGATGTCCAGGGTTCGAGTCTCACCATCCCATCTCCGCAGCTAAGGTCTTCATGACCTTGGGTAAGTTAATTTCCTCTCATTTCCCCATCGTATTTTTTTAAATAAATTCACATGTGAAAGCATCATTTTCCCATTGTAATATGAAGACACTCTATTAAATACACGATTTTTATCTTCTAATGCCTGAGAGTTACCTGCAGATCTTTTTCTAACACTTACAGGCATGTGTGTTTTGATTCTGATTCTGAAATAGGGCCAAGACATCCACATTTTTGCAGAAGCTCTCCCAGAAAACTTTAAGAGCCACTTTTGCAGATGGTCTTTGAACTTCGACAGGCCGGATTCCCACGCAGGTGTTAGTTTGGAGGGTGAACTCAACCGGGGGGTTGCAGGAATATAAGACTTTCGTATGGCGATCCAGGCACGGTGGGGCGTGCCTCAAAGGATGCTGAGATCCTGTCTGCTGGTTGTGGCGGAAGGGTCTTTATGGAGACAGCGGCATTTGAAATGGGTAAGATGTTGACACACAGAAGGAGATGGCAGTGCAGGTGGAGGTTACAGAAGGAGCAAAAGCCTGCAGGTAGGACAGCATGTGGCAGGAGGAAATTGCAAATACAGGAACCCACTGACACATGACATGAAGAGACGTAAGCGTCCAGGTGAGCAGCTTGTACTTCATCCCATTGGCCATGGGGAGCCACTGCAGGCTTTTGAGCTAGAGAGCGCACGATCAAAGTAGATCAGCCCAGCAGGCCCTCTGTGGTTATATAATGCACACGGGTCTCATGATTTCCATGTCTTCATGACCCGGCCCTCTGTAGCTGTCCAGCCACATCTCTCTGCAGCCACGCCCTCTCTCCTGTCCCTCTCCCTGCACCCGACACTCCAGATTTACCTGTCGACTCCTCAGGATGCTCCTGTGTGCCTCGTCGTCCTTACACACTCCCTGTCCCCACATAGCATGCTCCCCTCCCCACTTCAGCCCGCAGGAGACCCCTGCTTAACAAACATACTCCTGAGAGGGCTCTCGGATGCTGCTGGAAGGCTCCCAGCCAGCCCGCCTCTGTGTCCTCAATACAGCGCATCTCCCCCTGTCCTCACACTGGATGGCCTTCCTCGTTTATCTGTGAGCCGAAGGGAAGTGGCTGGAGGTCAGGAAGTGCATCTCATTACTAACCGCCTTCCCTGGGGCTAACTGAGGACCTAGAACAGAGGAAGCTATTGAGGAATGTTGAGGATCGAAAAAATAGAAACGGCAAATATCTGGGCCAGGTGCTTGACACGGGATCTTATTTAATTCTTACCACGCGCCCTCGAGACATGCGTGAAGGTTTCCCTTTGGAGTGGACATGCATGTGCGCAGGCTTGCGCAATCACCGGCTTGCAGAACCGGGATTCAAACATCCAGACCCAAGCCCTTCTGCCTTGTCACGTCCAAGGGGCAGTGGCTACATGCTTGGATGGAGCAGCATGGGGTCAGACAAGCCCCACACAGGCCTCTTCCTCTCACTCACCTTTCTTTACTTCTCCCCCAGCCAGGACAGTCCCCACTCACTCTCTCAAGATCCTTATCTGCTCCTGAGCTCGGTGAAGTTCCCAGCACCACCCAGCCAGCACTCGAGCACGACTGCGAACACCACCGTCGTGGAGAGGTGTGGAAAGGAGTTTTCCATGTGGTCATTAGGCGTGAGTAGCTGTCCTTTGTCGCTGTGACTCCCACCTCCTCACCATGGCTTGGAAAACCCCAAGAGGTCTAATAAAAGCTCCCGGCACTGCCAGATGGGGCACAGGAAAGCTCTTAGTTCTACCAGACTCATCAAGGCTGCTCCAGGAGGGCCTGAGCCAGACCCCTCCACCCCGAGATGAAGCTCATCGCCACGGCCCTGGTGTGCCTGCTGTTGGCCGGGGTGTGGCCACCGCACGTGGACAGCAAGAGCAGTGAGTGTAGCAGGCGTTACTCTGCTTCTTCCCGCAAGGGTGGAAATGCAGGCGGGTGCTCTGGTGCTGGGGTGGGCTCCCCTGGACTCACGGCTCTATCTGTCCTAAACCAGAGGAATGGGGGACTCGGATGGGCTGAGGGCAAAGGGCCAGTAGGAGAGCCATGAGTCAGGGGCAAACGCAGAGAACTGAGCTTTCTCACCCAGACCATGCAGAATGATGGGGTTACCTATGAGGTTATTTCGGTCCAGCTGGGGGGCCCGAGGTCCAGAGGACAGACTGGGTCTTGCATCTACGGTGTGACAGATAACCAAGCAGAGCCCGAAGGTAGGGCCAGGGCTAAGAGTTGGCTACCCTTGGGCAAGTCACTTTGCCTTTCAAAATCTGGTTTCTCCATCAGTAAAATAGAGTGGATAACACACATTTTTGTTGTTATGAAAACTGAGCTCGAGGAAGGTAGAAACATCTGTCTAAGTTCACCCACATTCTCCCTGGTGGTTGGGAGAATACTGACCTGGTAACAGACTTGAAAGGGGGTTGTGAATGGTAAAGCTGGGGGTAGGAGCCCGGATTGGAATGCAGGCGTCCTGGGGGTGCAGTGTGGGTGGGAACGTGCAGACTGGCAGAGTGGGGTGGGGGCCTGGGGAGAGCTGAGGACCCGGGAGGAGGGGATTTGAGAGATTGAGTAGGGCAGCGGTCCCCAACCTTTTTGCCACCAGGGACTGGTTTCATGGAAGACAATTTTTCCGTGGACGGTCTGGGGGGAGGCAGGGGTGGCTCAGGTGGGGAGGTGGAGCTCAGGCAGTGATGCATGGCCCTGTTTTCCTAACAGGCCATGGACTGGTACCTGGCCACGGCCCAGGGGTTGGGACCACGGGAGTAGAGGAGCCAGCTAGTTCCTGGGGGCTCTTCCTTTGTCGTTTGGTCAGACTCCTTGAACAGTTGCTAAGCCGGCCCCAGGTCTGTAGGCCGTAGACTACGGTGTCCTGTGTGCATAAGACGGACCAGGCTCCCCGGGTGCTGGTCCCGAGCTCTTGGACTCAAATATCAGGGCAGAGCCTTGTGCTTGTGGTGGAATGTCAGAACTGGGCAAGCCTTTAGAGATCAGGGTCCAGAGAGTCTTATTTTACAGTTGGGAGGTCTGGGACCAGGGTGTGGGCTCGTCTCCACCAAGGCCATCCTGCCGATTTGTGGGCAGCTCAAGTCTGAGCCCCAGTCTTTAACTCTTTGCCTCACCCGGAACTAGGTGGCCAGTGAGATGGGGCTGTGCCGGGGCCCTCTAGATGTGGTCCCAAAGCCTGCGCCTGTCTTGGGAGGGGCTTTTTTTTTTTTTTTTTCCTTTTTTAAAGTTATGCTATGGGCGAGAAGTTGAGAAATGGCAGCGAACTGTCTTATGTGTTCTCTTCCAGTACTTGTGTCCTCCTCCAACTGCTGCTTCTCATTCGTGGAGAGAAGGATTCCCCTGAAGTCAATCCGGTGTCACAGGCAAACCAGCTCCACTTGCTCCTATGATGCTCTCATGTGAGTGCTCACCTGCTCAATCCCTCCCCTAGGCGCCAGAACCCCGCCGGCCTGGAACTACAATAGCGGACGCTAGATGGCGCTGTTCCACCAGCATAAGCTTTCTAAACTGCACCCGCAAGGCCGCCAGCGCCTGGCTGCAACCTGTACTTGGGCGCTAGGGGGAGCGCGGAGCCTCCTAGCAGGTGCTAGGGAGGACGCACCTGTGCTCCCGTAGTGACTTGTGTTTCCTGGAACTCCAAGTGGCCAAGGGTTATATCCCAGTGTTATATGCGCAGAGGAGGGAATTGCTTAACAAAAGCACCAGGCATTATCGTGTCGTGGAAGTAGCAAGGGAGTCATGGTTAGTTCCTGCCTCTGGATTTGCTAATATATAATCTTGAGTGACTTTGGACAGGTACTTCCTCTGTACCCCATTATTTGTGTACCCCTCTGTATTCCTGCCTCACAGGGTCATTATGGTCTTAACTGGTGCTTACACATACCGCTCAGTATTTTAAGGTGCTTTCGTGTATTTTATCTCTGCTGACTTTCTTGGGGCACACATTGTTGTTATCATGAAAACTGAGGTCCAGGAAGGTAGAAAGATTTGTTTAAGTTCATCCAGATGGTAAGAGGCAGAGCTGGTCTATAGGTTGGACAATAGCTAAGTTTAGGAAGTGGACAGATCAGAAAAGAAAACAGACACACACATGCACACACACACACACTCACACAGAGTCTGAAGCAATGAGCGAGGTCCCAGATGGACACAGACACAGACACGTTCCTGTTGGAGAGGTGAGCTGCTCTAAGGTGGGAATTTTTCATCGAATGGCCGCAGGGTCTTTAGCCCCAGCCTGACACACTGAAATGTGATCCCCAGGGGGGTGTCCAGGAAGCTCAATGAATAAGCTCCTGGTGCTCAGGACGCTCCTTGCAGTGTGTGAGCCCCGGATGCCGTGCAGCGGCTTCATCTGCAGAGGGGAGCCTGAGGCCCAGAGAGAGGTGCCAAGGGGCGCCTAGTGGCCAGGAAGTAGAGATGGGACTTGTGGGGTTTGTGGCTCAGGTGGTTCAGCCCTCTCCTGCGTTCTCTGTCCACAGATTCCAGCTGAAGGGAGGCAGACAGAGCTGTGCCTTGAAGACGCTCGGATGGGTCCGGGCGCACCTTCAGAGTGTGAAACCCTGTCTGCCGTAGGAAATAGGACCTGGGCTCGGAGACCACGTGGCTTCACTTGTCCATGAAACTGCCAGCCCGACACCATTCCTTCTGCCCGCTTCGGCTAGGTTACGGGGGATCTGCTCACTCTTGATAAGCTGTGTTCTTGCACTTTATATATTAAAATTCGTGGACCGTCATCTCCTGTTTCTCTGCGCTTCTTGGACCCCACAGGGATTGATTTCAGGGTGAAAACTTGATTGGCACTGAGGGCCCGGGGCTGGAGGGTGGGGGAGGAGGGGGCACATGTTGGCCCTGGTGCTCGGGGACCGGCTGCCAACAGGAGTCAATAAATGACCCTGCTTCTCAACAACTGTCTGTGTCCTGGGGGGGAGGCTTAGATCCGGGCTGTGGTGCAGGTTTGGCAGCTGCGTGAGGCACAGTGGGCAGCAAGCTGGGGCTCAGGCCTGGGGCCACATTGGGTGCAGGATGCTCTCCCTCCCCACCCTGCCCAGAGGGTTCGGGGGATCCTGTGATCCCAAAGTCGCAGCTGCCCTAAATGGAGGGGATCTTGAGAGGTCACCTGCTTGTAAGATGTTGCTAACCCCATGTTATAGATGAACTCACTGAGGACTAGAGAGGGACACAGGAAGTCAGCAGCAGATCTGGCGTGAGAGCCCAGGGCTCCCTTCTCCCGGGACTGAACTCTTTCTGGTGTCCCAAGTGACCGAGTGTACTGCCTGCTGCGGTGTGGCCCAGGAGCCTTCTCCCCACCAGATCTGGGGATGTGCCCTGCACAGCCGCTAGCAGTGCCCCTCTCTCCTTGGGGATGGTCCTGGGGGGGTCCAGGCATGGGTGGGTCCTAGGCTGATAGAGATGCCAACCTAGCTTGTCTGGGGAGTGGGCAGTCTTGGGACAGATAGGACATATAGGAAGAGGAGGCCCTGTCCTTTGAAAAGGGACAGTCACAAGCTCCAGTGAGTGTAGTGTGTGATTTGAGGAAGAATAGCCAGGGAGGAAAGTGAATTCTGGGTCTCAGGATTGGCAACTCTTTACAGGCCAGCTTGCTGGCTTTAGGGGGGACAGTCTCATGCCCTGTGTCTCAGGGCTTCTCCCTCTTTCCCCAGCATTCAACATGGCACACGTCTGGCCCAATCTTTTCACTCTGCCTCCTCCCCTCCACCCCATGACTGTCCTGCTTTAGGCCATTCCCTCTGCCCGGACCATTGCAGTAGACTGTTCTCAGTCCTCCCTTCCCAGCTCCATCCCCCTCCCACAGCCGCAGGCTACTCTTCCTGGCACTGCCCTCCTTCCGATGGCCCCCAAACCTTCTACCTTCCTCCTGCCTTCAGAACTGAATTGAAACTCCCCACCCTGATATTCTAATTCCTCTATAATCTGATCTCAACCTTCCTTTCCAACAGTCTCTAACTTTTACATTCTGGAACCCAAACTCTGACCATATGGGGATACTCCCTCTGGGACCTCTACCCCCCTTTCCACCTTGCACTTCCCCTAGAAGAATCTTTGCTGTGACCACCCCATCCTCCAAGGTTGGTTCTGCCCAAGTCCTGTTTTCCCCAACAAGCCCGTTGCTAACTAGGACTCGGTTGTCTCGTTTTTCTCTGGGCGTTCGGGTGCACATAAAAGCTGTACCACTCCCTCCAGGCTGGGGGAGGCAGCAGGGCAGGGGGACCAGTTAGGAGGCATTTGCAATAGATCGGGGTGGGGGTGGCCTTTGGGTAGGCGTGGGTTTTTAAGGAGAGAAATGAACTGAACATGAGACTGATGAATTGTGGGCCAGGGGAGCCCATGATGAGACTGGAGCCACCCTGCTGGAATAGCCCGGGTTGGCGATATAGCCCCGCCACCCCCGACAGTCAGATGAACCCAGGTTGGCCACAGAGCCAGGGCCCCGGTAAACCTGCATTCCGCTAGCAGGCTCCGCCATCCACCTGCACCTCGGAGCGCCCCCTGGAGTTACCCCCGAAGAAAACACCACTGTTAGAGATTTTAAATAATGTATTTTCTGCAAAAAGTCAGTAGTCCTATTGTTGCATTCGTCTTTCTATAACAACATAGTTAGCAACTCCTCCCATTCACAAGGCTCTCCCTTCCCTGAGTGACAGTGACCCTTCACATCCAAGGTTCCTGCAGCGCACTCTCAACCCACACAGCGGGAGAGAACCCCACTGCCCGCTGCGCGCAGTGGATGGGACTGGGGATTACAGACAGGGGCCACCTTGCCTAAGGCCTTGCTGTAGAAAAAAATCACCCATATTCAAAACAAACCAGCAATAATTCAAATACTAGCAAATATCACTTAAGACATAGTACGTTTGCTTCGCAAAACAGAAAGCGTCCTATTTGGAAATTACAATAAAATTATTCCAGAGTCTAAGTGGGGAGGCTGGAGAACTGAACAGTCATTTCTCATACTCTGGCCTGGTCTTAGTGTGCGTGGCTGAGCCCAGATCTTCAGAGCGTGGGTTTTTGTTCCAGGTGTTTCACATAACTCTGGACCCACTTCTCCTTCACGTCGGCACAGACCTCCTTGTTCAGTTTGGTTCTGAAGCTGCGGATGAAGGAGAGTTGGCGTAGTTAGATGGAATCCTTTGAGGGTTTTACCCAGACGACGACTCATTGGGCTGTAAACCCACCTGGCCCACCTGCCGTGGGTGAAGGGTGGCCCTGGGACGGGAGGAAGGAGGTGCATGGAAAAAGGGGGACCTCGGGAGGCAGCTTCCACTCTTGCCGTCCCTGGGGAAGTGATCCTGGCACCCACTAAAGAGTGTGGGCTGGCGCCCATTCCGGGAGCAGGGCGTGGGAAGTCACCAGCCCTCGTCCTAATGGAAGGGCTTGGTGTCACATGGTCTGGTTAGATCTCATCCTCTGAGTGTCAGATCTCAAGGCGGTCTGCCGTCTGTCTTCCGGGGCAGAACTTTGGATTGGGGAATGTGGGGGTGGGGAGGGGTGCGGTGAGCGGGGTTTTTCTACCCACATGACAGCCTTCTGTTGACACTGGCTGTTGGTGATGTAATAGCTCTTCAGCCTCTGCAAGGGGATCTTCCTACTGCTAAACGTGAAGCAGCAAGTGGCCGGGGCATTGAGGGCATCTAGAAATAAAGTCACAAAGAAAAAGCCTTTGGGGATGTGCTAGGCTTTTCTTATCTTGGACGCAGCAGGAAGTGTCTGTAGGCGAAGGCAAAGCAAAGCAAAGAGGCAGAAGTAGATCTTGCCCACCCCCAAGTTTAGTGCTCCTGCCCTAGGCCCCAAGGCGGGGTGGGACCTGTGCCACGGGGCTCATGAGCTCAGACTCTCAAACTCGCAGCTGCACGGTGGGGATGCGTCCCTGCTGTCTGGAGGAGGCCAGGGGCACGGACAGTGGACAGGTCCTGGGTATGGCCCCCGGATCTACAGAGTTTGGGTTGATCAGCTGTGGTCGAAAGCCCTGGATTTGGAGTTTGCAGTTTAGGTTTCACTCTTGCTCTGGGATGACCTGGAAGTGGGTGGGCAGGGTCCTTCCTGTCCCCAACCTGGGCTTCAGCTTTCTGTCTTTAAAATTAGTTGTTAAACTAAAGCTCTGAGGAGCCTTGCTGCTCCAATGGCTTAGAAGTAGGGCACTTTGGTCTAGGGCTTCCTGGGAGAGAGAAACAGAAGGAAAGGGAGGCAGAGAAGGAGGGAGAGAGACTGGGCTCACCTGGCTGAGCGAGGCCCTGGGGGCTGAAGGCAGCAGCCAGGAGCAGCAGGCCCAGGAGCGCTGCGGAGACCTTCATGCTGGAGGACGAGGGGCAGCTTCAGCTTCTGGGTGGGTCTCAGCCTCTGCTCCTCTGGCGGCTCTGCCTGCCTTTTAAAGGGAGCAGAGAGGGCTGGAGCTCTCGGGGGACCTTTGCCTGGGCAAGGTCACGGTCAAGTCACGATGAATGAAGTCCTGAATCTGCTGAGCTGCAGCTGGGCGCCAAGGACTTTTCTAGGAAATGCAAGAGGGAAGGAAGCTGTGGCTGCAGCGGCGCTAGCTCTGTTTCCTTCTGGCTGCCAGGGCCTCGGGGAACAGGAGAGGAAGCAGGGAGCACAGATGTGCCACTGGCACTCACCATAGGAAGCCATCCAAGCAGCTGCTCTGTGTACACTTTCTCCAAGTTGAAACAGAAAACAATGGAAAATAACTCCTGTAGCGAAAGAGCACTGTGCTAAGGGCCCTGAGCGTGTTATGTACTCCGTCCTGGGGAGGTGCGTCCCATTGTTATCGTGCCCATTTCATAGATGAGGAAACAGAGGTGCGGAGAGATCAAATAACTTGCCCAGTGTTTCACTGGAAGTGAGTGGGGAAGCTGAGAGAGAAAGCTGGTCTGTTTGCATTTAAACACCAAGGCGGTTTCAAACTTTCGTTTAGCTGCCAAGTTTCATTTTCCAAGTCAAGTTGTATGTGGAAGCCCGATACCCGAGACGGACCAAGTCAGATTCTGACGACGGGGGTCCCTGCATCACACACTGGGGCCCCTTTTGCCTCTCAGGCCCAGAGGGAAATGGTTTGCAAACCTCCGATGTGTCCACGCCCCTTGTTTCCAGGAAGGGCCGCTGGGCTTCTAGAGCTGTCGATGGGGTGTCAGCACAGAGCAAAGAAGTGGGCTCTTGTTCCTGGCCCCCTCCTGTGAGCTGGGGCCGTGGAGGGAAGTGCTGCATGGGGCAGGGTGGGGAGGGCGCAGTGTGGGCTGACCGAGCCCCACAGCACTGCTCACTGCTGTGCCTTGCTGAAATACTGTTCTCTCTGCTCTCCACTCCAGCAAAACAAGCCCAGGAAAACAATATATACAACCAAGGATTGGTGAACCCCAAAGTTGGCTCTTTAACAAGCCTAGAATGAAGCTAAAACTCTCTTGGACTGACCATGAAATAAAGAAAAAAAGGCCAAATGACCAATAGCAGAAATAAAAATGCCAAAAAATTTCATTTAGAGGAAATGGATGAATTTCCCAAAAATCTAACTTACCAGATTGCAAGAAGAAATGAAAAATAAAAAGGCAATGCTAAAACTATTAAAGAAATGGAATCAGTAATTGAAAATATTCCCACAAAACCTCCTCCGGGCCCAGAGGGTTTTAACAAGAATTCAAGGAACTGATAATTCCAGTCTTACACAGTCTCTTCCAGAGAATAGCAAAAGAACACACACTGTTCAGCTCATTTTGTGTGTCTTACATAACTTTGAGGCAAAGATTTGTCAAGACCTGTATGAGAAAAGGTTACAACCTCGTCCTTTCGGACACGCATTTCATTCTTTCCCACCCTACTCTCTGCCCCCGGAAGCCCGTCTCGGTGGGTTACATCAGTGGAACTGCGGGCCTGCCGGCTTCAGGATGGGCTTGGACACTAGGGAGCCCCTGAGGACACTGGAGGGGGGAGAAGAGTTAAGTTGGGGTGCTTTTTCCTCTGCCATCGCCCCGTGTAGCTCAGTCTGGATGCGTCTTTCAACCAGTGGTTTTAACCCTTTAGAGGTGGCCTGTCCATGACTCTCTCTACCCAGGTTTGGGGAACCACCGCCTGTCCTTCCTCTTCAAATCTAGCGGATCACCATGCTCTTATTAGCCTCAGAGAACCAAAGTACCCCTGTGGTTTCTCTACACCCACTCACAGGTTTGCAAATAGTTTCTTTATAAACTCTTCTCAAATTCTTCCACTTTCAGCATTCTTGCTGGGACCCTCACTGATACAGGATTGGACACCCAGAAGTGCCCCAGGAAACAAATCTTCCAAATGGGATTTGGGGATTGGGTTGCTCCTGTGTTTTAGGGTTACTGTGGAAAGAAACACAAGAACGGCATCTGTTGGCCTCAGGATGACTGAAATTACCACCAGTAGCATTGACAAGCCCTCCCAATGATCCTAACAGACAGCAAGAACCGCAGAGCTACACCATGTCCCACTGTCCTCGTTGATCTGCAGAGAATAGCCACCGTGAGCGCTGGAGGCTGCCGCCCTCCTCCCAGGACCTCATCAAAGCATTTCTCAGCGCCTTGATAAAGAGAGTGTCCCGCTGGGCTTCCCGGGAGTGCAGTTGTCGGGGGTGGTGGCTGAGTAGTTTGCACAGAACAGACCCATTGCTGCAGACCTGCTTCCCTGAGCCTCCCGCCATCCCAGGGAAGTTCTGGCGTTTCAGCTCCATCAACTGCGGGCTTGTTTGTAAGCACAGGATTCAAGTAGCCAGTCTGGCTGACCATTAACATCACCGCCAGGTACTTGTGCCAGCACCTTCTATCCCGAATTTGGCTGGCTGAGCCCTAAATATTAGTCTCCTCAGTTTAACACCTTTAACATCCACTCCCACAAATACACCCCAAACTTCCCTGGAAATCGAGCAGATGAGGGGACATTCAAATTCTCCCAGCTGTAAAAACCCCCTCTTCCTTTCCTCTGCTTCAGGACTTAAAATTACATAGAAGCCAGGGCTCCGGAGTCGGTCAGACATGGGTTCCAGTCTTATATGCGTCATTTACTGGTTAAGTGATTTGGAGCAAACTGCTTACCTCTCTGAGCCTCTAAGAGGAAAGAGATTCCTACTCACTACCTCATGTGATGTCAGGAGACGCAATAAGATAACACATGGAAAGTGCTTGGCACAGTGGCAATAATTCGCGTTTCTGACAAGTGCTCAGGTGATACTGACGCTGCTGGTCTGGGACCACTCGTGGAGAACCACTGCTGTCGTGGGACTGGATTTGCTGGTCCCACTGGGAATAAGGGGATCCAGGGACGGCAGACGCTGGGTGCTGGTGCTTATTAAACGCCAAAGACAAGGTGGCCACAATTACCCCAAGAAACCACAGGGCTAGAGAGGTAATCAGAGTGCTTTGATTGGCAGGGATCTGTGGCAATGATTACGGAATCTCTAGAAACAAACTAGACAGGATGCTCATTAAAGTGCTGCTTGACTTTAGGCAGAGAATTCTAGCTGGCAGAAACATGGTATGAGCCCCTGCAGAACTCAGGTCTCTTACCCAGTCATCAGGTCGAGGCCAGTTCATCGACCTGGAGTGCCCTGATGGATGGCGAGGCCAGGTCTCTTTGAGGAAGGGCCCAGCAAACCTGGGTTGCCAGATTAAATACAGGACACTTAGTTAAATCTGAATTTCAAATAAAAAGGGAGTGATTTTTTAGTATAGATATGCCCCTTGCAATATTTTTTGCTAAATGTGGCAACCCATAGGTCTTAGACTGTAAATCTTCCCCGGAGGAACTGCTGCCATAAACCAGGGTGACACTGCCCTGGTGAAAGAAATACTGAGACCTTCTGGGATCATTTGATGATGACTCTGAATGGATGGTATTCAGTGGAGACCCGAAAATCCACCCTGGTTCATCAGAGTGGGAGTTTATGAAGGCCTTATATCAGTTACGCAGTTATGTCTAGAGCAGAAGTTCAGCTAGCTGTTTTCCAACCCAGTAATCTTTATGTAATAACAGAAGTCTCTGAAATCTAGAGAGTCCTTTGAGGTCAGGATCATTATGTTGCTGTAGAATCTTAGCACTCGAGCATCCTGCAGTCTGTCTGCATAGCACTGGGCAACCTTGGTGCCCATCATCTTAGATACTAACGTCGTAGAATTGGCTAGTTTATGCAATGTTGTGGTTTCCAGAGGTTTGTTTACCTGCTAAAGTCTATTCTCAAGGAGTAACTTATTGGGAAGTCCTGATGTATAATGGATTAAAACTGCTCCTGGAAGCAGAGCTGGGGCACCCGGTACCTGTACTTCTCCCTGTCCATCTCATCTCACTCTTTAAGGCTCTAAGGAGTATGGCCGTGGTGCAATTTTTCCATTTTATAGAACATTTGTGTGTCTGCTGGGGGGTTGCTGAAAAGGGTAGGGAGCCAGCACTAATGAGCACTCTCAGCACCCAAGACTGGGTCGCTCCAGAGAAAGGCAAGCCTGCAGAACGGGAGACTGTTACTGGGATGTGGGGAAAAAAAAACCGTTGCATGCATCACCCACGAAAACGTTGCAAGACGACTTCCTTACTTCTTTGTTTGTACCACTTTCACTCCTGTCTCTGTCCTTGCTTCTAATATCCCATCCACCAAAATATTCTTCTTTCCATTTCATCCAAACAGGAATCATCTGAGACTTTGTTTAAATCATGTGTTGTCCATGAAGGCTTCCCAGGCTACACAGACTTCATAGGGGACCAAACCTGACTCTGAAAATGAATGGTTGGTGACCTTTCAGGGCAAGCCTTACTATGTCCACTTTAGGAAACCCAGTCCTCTTTCTGGCAATCTCTGGACCAGCACACAGTCAAAAATGAACACTTACCAATGATCTGAGGGATCTAAGAGGCCACAGGGGCGTTCCTTTCTGGGAGGACCATCATATATGTGCTTTATCTTGCAGAGCAGACAGGAATGAGCCAGTGTCATCCCAGACAAAGTGAGGTGTACCATCTCCCTATCCAGGGGGGACTTGGCATCTTACCAGTTGTTGCATCACCAATTTTAGTGTTTGCAATTTCTAGCTTCTTTTTTTTTTTTTTGAAGCAGTATCTTACATCATTTTTTAAATTTTTTTAATTATTATGGGTACATAATAGTTGTATATCTTTATAGGGTGCATGTGATGTTTTGATGTAGACATACAATGTGAATTAATCAAAACAGAGTAATTGGGGTATCCATCGCTTAGGCATTTAGCATTTCTTTGTGTTTATTGGAACACTTCAATTCCACTCTTTTAGTTGAAGTATATCCTAACTTATTGTTGATTATAGTCACTTTGCTGTGCTA